TTACATTTAAAGAAGATGAGAAGATAGTAAGAGTATCATCTAGTTTAAATGAATTTATATTTTCAAGACTGAACTGAATTGCCTCCCAGGAGTTGAAGGGCCTCTCAGATATGATCTCAGGGTTATTGTCAATATTCTCTGTGAAATCATGGAGAATGTGGGAAGTACCAGGAAACTGAAGAGAGACAAATGTCCCAGTTTCCAAAAAGGCATAAAGTAGATTGTGGAAACTCAAGTCCACTGCCCTCACTTTAAACTGTGGCAAAATTTGAAAAGATTGTAAAAAAAATAAAATAAAATATTGTAAGTATCTAGAAAAGAATGAGATGATCACCATGATTCAGTGTGAATTTATAAGAACAATATATCTGAAACTGACTTCATTTTTTAAAATTTTATAATTACTGCTGAATTAGAGAATAGTAAAGACATGTATCTTGACTTTAGCAAGTGGTTGACAAAGTCTCTTAGACCATCCCTGTGGAAAAGACAATGAAATGTTGGCAGTTAGATTGATTTACAGCTGTCTGCATGACCACACCTATGCCAGCATATCGCAGTGTTTCTCTAAATAATAACCAGTGCCTCTATACACTGATTCCTCAAAGAGAACTGGTAGTGAATATTAATTTGCGTATATTCAGAAAGTATGGATTTGTAGTTATGAGTTCTTTTGACTAAGGATTTGTATAATGAAACTTGAGTGCCTGGATTTATTCATACGATTGAGGTTTCAGTCATAGACTTTTCTCCACCTGAGCTGTATTTGTGAGATAAATAGATCTATTTTTAAGTTTCATAAATCAACTTGACTTATAAATCACTTAAGAGGTTAAAGAATAATCTTAACACTTAATGCAAAGCCTGCCTGGGTAAGAATCCTAAGTTATGAAGAATTTTTTTCTCTTATTTGTTCAACAACACCTGCATTAACCCCAAGTAAATGTTTTCCATACCCTTGAAATGTTAAGTTTCTATGAAACTCTCCCTAAACAAAAGGTGCAAGTTCATACACAACTTGATAATGTAGATATATTTAGCATTGTCTTTGTGAGTTATGTTTCTGTTGGCATTCTAGTAATTCCACAGTCATCTGCCTATTCAGGATATTTGTGCTTTTTTTTTTCCCAAAACAAGTTCCATAGAATTTTATCAAAGAGGGAACCATAATATTCTGTCGTCTTGCAAAAGTTGTTTTGGTTTCTTGAGGCGAGGAAGTCCATGATAACTACTACAGCCAATATATTCATCTCAGCATTGCATCCAGAATCTCAGTAGAAGCTGAGGGTGAAAATTGAGAGTGCAATTCCAGCCCTGATAATTCTAGGTGTTAGTCTTTAAATCTAGCTCTTTCTGCTTTTAGTAGCCTCTCAGTCTTAAGATCTTGTAGTCCCTTGAAACAGGAATTGACTTGTTTTAACTTCATTTCCCATTTAGAGACCCCCTCATGCTGTAATTGGAGATCTGTGATTTTTATTATGGCTTTGTCTTTAATTATATCTAATTTAATGGCAGTTATTTTTATAGATTAAAATCTAATCTGGGTTTTTAGCATTTTATAGTTACCTCTGTGAATTATATCATACCTTATAGTAAAGTTTCAAATTAAAAAACAAAAAAAGAAAATCTTGAGTTAAAAAAAAGTATTGGTTCAGATTGTCTTATTTAATTACATAGGCATTATCTTTTATCTACATTAAATCTATTCCTGAAAATATGCTGGATGGTAGGTTTTTAGATATCGGAGCTTATATTTATTATTTTAAGTGGGAAAAATAATTATGCATTCTTTGTCTATTCAGAAACCCTAACTATCACAAATATCGCTAAAATACTTTCTAAAAAATTATTTTGTTGAGGTCACCTTAGCTTATAACGTTGTGTAAATTTCAGGTGCACATTATTACATATCAGTTTCTGTATAGACTGCATCATGTTCACCACTAATAGTCTAATTTTTAATCCGTCACCATGCACATGTGCCCCTTTCACATCTGGTAACCACTAATCTGTTCTCTTTTTCCATGTGTTTAATATTCCACACATGAGTGAATTCATATTGTGTTTGTCTTTCTCTGGCTTATTTCACTTAGCATAATACGTTCAAGGTCCATCCATGTTGTTGCAAATGGCATGATTTTGTCATTTTTTATGGCTGAGTAGTATTCCATTGTGTGCATGTGTGTGCGTGTGTATGTGTGTACCACGTCTTTAGACATTCATCTGTAGATGGTCACTGGATGGCTTCCATGTCTTGGCTATTGTGAATAATGCTGCAGTGAACATTGGAGTGCATAAATCTCTTTGAATTGTTGATTTCATGTTCTTCGGATAAGTACCCATTAGTGGGATGTTTGGGTCATATGGTTGTATTTTTAATTTTTTGAGAAATCTCCGTACTGTTTTCCATAGTGGCTGCACCAGTTTGCATCCCCACCAGCAACATATAAGGGTTCCCTTTTCTCCACATCATCTCCAACACTTGTTATTTCTTGTCTTTTTAATAATAGCCATTTTGATGGTTGTAAGCTCGTATCTCATTGTAGTTTTGATTTGCATTTCCCTAATACTTAGTGATGTTGAACATCTTTTCATGTGCCTGTTGGCCATCTGTATATCTTCTTTGGAAAAATGTCTGGTCATATCCTCTGCCCATTTTTTGATTGGGTTGTTTGTTTTTTTGTTTTTTTTTTGTTGTTGAGTTGTAGGAGTTCTTTTTGTACTTTGGAAATAAACCATTTGTCAGATTTATGATTTGCAATATTTTCTCCCAGTTGGTGGATTCTATTTTTGTTTTATTCATGGTTTCTTTTGCCTTGCAGAAGCTTTTTAGTCTGATGTAGTTCCATTTGTTTATTTTTTCTTTTATTTCCCTTGCCTGAGTAGACATGGTATTCAAAAAGATACTGCTAAGAGCCAGCTCAAAGAGTGTACTGCCTATATTTTCTTCTAGTAGTCTTATGGTTTTAGGTCTTACGTTCAAGTCTTTAATCCATTTTGAGTTAATTTTTGTGTATGGTGTACTAAAACACTTTTAAGCACCTATATATAACAATCTGCTGAAGTTTTGCATAATATTTATTACAAGCATTTGAAACACTTCTTCCCTAACTTTTAAAAAACTTAATGAACCCATTATGTTTTTGTTTAATAACAATGAACTTGTACAGTATTGATTGTGAATTAGATTTTTCTTCTACCCAGCAATGAACAAGTACTGTCATATAAATAAAAAATAATATGATTCCATTGAAATTGGACTTAGGTTCGTGGGGCCCCTAAAATGCCTGGCAGAAGCAACTTCTGGGACTAGGGATTCTTCTTTGTTAGCCCTGTAAACATCCTTTGAGTTTTCTTCTTTGATCACAAAGGTGCCCCCTTTCCTCAGCATCTATTTTTGGCAAGGCAAAACAGGGACTTTTTGATTTATGTTTATTAGTTTAGGATCTGAATGTTATCTCTAAATGTTAGAAGCACTCTGATTTCCTGCTTATATTAACACCCTCTCAAATAGGTTATGTTTATTTATACATGTGAGAAAAGACCAAGAGGGGAGTTTAGAAATGTTACATTATGGAATAGTAGTTAAAAGAATGAACTTATCTGTAGTAACCTTTTCACTTATCTAATCTTGTCATAATCACGCTGTTCCAAATAAAACAAAGAGTGTATTTTAATCAGCTAGTCATTTTTTCTCCAATAAGATAATCTGTTTTGTCTTAGCATTGCTCTTTTCTAATTGTCTAAAGTCTTGTCTAATGAACAGCGTTTGGATTGCTTTGATTTTCATTTGAAGTTCAACTCTTACTACAAATTCACTGCTTTCAGATTCCTGCAGTTGCGTTTTTTTTCTGCTTAACATTTCTGAGATGTCTAATATTCCTCTATTTATCTCCCATTTCTCTCAAAAATAAGGAAAAAAATTTTTGACTCTCTTATTTATGCGCATTGTATCTGGGACTCAGGCAAGTGGACAGAAAATGCCTGTTGAATCTAGTGATAGGCCGAAGGCTCTGAGGTAGGGCCCATTTGGTTTTTTTGGTGGCCAGTGTGGGTGGAGCATAGTTTGAGAGGGGGAAGAGTGAATGAGTTTGGGTCAGAGATGGCCAGAGCTAGAACATGGAGGGCCTTAGGCCATGCTTAGAAGTTTGTATTTTATTCCAGGTGCACTAAGAAGTCATTGGGTGGCTCCATACAGAGTAGCGATTATCTGATTTATGTTTTAAATCGCACTCTGGTTTCTGTGTGAATGGTGGGAGCGGGAAGGAGGCAAGAATGGATGCAAGACCCATTAGAAGGCTGTTACAGATTCCAGATGAGAAATGATGGTGGCTTAGATTGGGGTGGTGGCCATGGGAAGGAGAAAAGTGGATAGTAAGGGGTATGTTTTGGAGGTAGAACTGACAAAAGTTACTATGGATCTGGGGGATAGAAGAGAAAAGGAGACATACAGGGTGACTTATAGCTTGTGGTTTTGTTCCACTGGGTTGGTGGTGCTATAATTTTCTAAGACAGGGAAAACTAGAGGAGAGGAAAACACTGGGGGAGGGTGGAATTAAGACTTCTGTTTTGGCTATCTGAAACCTGAGGTCCTTATTTGACTTCCAAATATATCTGCAATATATATGAATGAAGTTGATGAGTTTGGAGCTTGGTAGAGAGAGCTCAGGGATAGAGACATGATAGGAATTTGGAAGCTATCGGTATATAGATGGTATTTAAAGCTGTGGGCCTGAATGAAATTACCTTGGGTATTTGTCATATTCTCTTACCTATACCTTCTCCCTCCCTAACCGTGTAAAATTATACCCACATTATGTATTTCAGGTATATATTTTAATTATAGTACCTATAATAGTTTGGCATTAGTTATCTTGTTTTTAGTAAAATATTCTGATTTCTTTTTCCTGTTTATAGCTAAATGGTTTAAGGGTATCCAACCACTAGCATCTGTATTTCACTGGTGATCTAACAGTTAAATGTTTTGGTTTTTTTTGTAGGCAAAGTCATTAATAAAGATTTGCGACATTACCTGAGTCTTCAGTTTCAGAAAGGATCAATTGACCACAAACTACAGCAAGTCATCAGAGATAATCTCTACTTGAGAACCATTCCATGTAAGTATGAGACGGAATAAAAGAAATGAGGCGGAAATATCCCTATTTAACTAATCAGACGCTAGAAACAGTTCAATAGAGTATCTCCTGTGAAACTGTGAAGACTAAGTTGGGGCACCAGAATGAAACAAAAATTGACTACGGAGAAAAATTTTCAGAGGACTTGCGAGGGTTTTGTTTTTAAAGATTCTATATTGTGACTTTTTAAAGTCATTAGACTTTTAAGAATTCAAGAATATATACGTACCTGTTGCAAACTAGAGTTTATTCCTATAAATCGATTTCTAAAGCCTATGCAATATGAAGACTTTCTGCTCTCAATGCCTTGTACACTGAGGACAAACATTTTTGTATTAATTATTAAGATGTTATTAATTTTAAAATCTGCTCCTTCCCCAAAGGAAAAAAGAGAGAAGCATGCAATGCCTTCTTTGTGGTAATCCATTTCGAATTTTTATGTACATGTTGGTATAGCTATTCCAAACTTAATAGTTTTCATAGGACCTGGTCATTGTAATGGTGTTTTCGTTTTTTTTTTTGAACGCATAACAAGAAGTAATGTTTGCTTAAGTTTTGGCTTTAGTTAATGCAGTCTGGGGAAGAATAAAAAGCAGTAAACAGTAAAAGAGCATAAAAGGACCTTCTGATTTGTTTTTGTTTTCAATATATTTGTGACTCCTTGTGGATACTAGCTTTTACAATTGCCCTGGAATTCTTGATTTCTTTTTCTTATTTACTCTTGCACCGTGTCCAGTCCATCAGCAAGCCTTTCTAATTATGCTTCTTAAATATCTTATCTGTTTTCACTGCCTTAGACCCTCACCCTTTCTTGCTTGAACTCTTTTTTTCTTTTTTTAACAACAAATAGCATTATATAGTGGCAAAGAGTTAGGTAAAACTGACTTCACAATCTTGATTCTAGCATCTTACTAGTTGCTTCAGTTAGGCAAGTCACTTAATTTTCCTGAGCCCCAGAATATCCATAAATAAAATGTTAATAACAAGACTCACCTCATATAGTTGTTATTAGAGTTAAAATGAGAACATGAATATAAACCACGTAGCCTGGAGTAGATGCTTAAGCAGTGTTTCTCCCTTCCCCGTGCTAACTGCGTCCCCTGCCTCCCATGTCACCTCAGTCCACTCTGTCTTTAAAGTGCACGTCTGATTCTTGTCCGTCTATAGTTTATCCTTCAAAGACTCCCAGTGACTCCCAGTCTATATTCTTTAACACAGTATAAAATATTTTGTTTTTTGTTTTAAAGTCTGACTTCTTATCTATGATTTCCTCCCATAAACCTACCTTGCCAGATTTCAGAATTGCCACTCTTGCCTTCTTTTCTTTGCATTTTCCTGATATCATTGTCCATCTTTTTATTCTTTCATTGTTCTGAATTTCTTTGTTTTATGAATAGTAGCCAATGTGAAACTTTCTTTATATTTATTGATGTGATCACTATCTTTAGTCTCGGTTTTCTTATGTTTTTCTATTTTACCCACATACAAGTCTTTTATATAAAAAGCCTTTCACTATGTAGTCTATTTTATTTCATCTCTCTCTTTTTGGGAAGGTTTGTGTCTTTATTCTAGTGGCTATCTTTATACCTTTATATAATGTTCTTTATTCCTCCTCTCCTTTTTTGTTTTTGTCCCAACAATGAGCAATATTAAAATTATCTAGTCATCGCTTCTTCCCCTTCCCTTTTTCTCTCCCATCATCTAACATGAAGTAGTATCTTTTTACTCCCAACAAATGTAATCAGTGAGCTTATTCTACTTTGCATATGCTTTCCTTATTCTCGCTGTTTTTTGATACTTGAGCTGTATTTATATTGGCAAAACAAACAGCCATTACATACTGCACTCTTCCCTTTATAATCATCATTTATTCTTTATTCTGTGGGTAAATACATACTTAATCTAACTACCAATCCTTAATTGCTTTTCTTCAATAATTGTGGTTGTCTAAAGCTTGTTCTCAACTAGATTTCCCAGGAAGGGTTCACAGGATCATCACAGTGGTTTGTCTGTGGCCTTTATACTTTAAAGTTTGTTTGGATGGATATTAACTCTTTGGTTCATATTTTCTTTTCTTGACCATCTTAATTATGTTAGTCAATTATCTAATTGTCTTCTGGCATAAAGCGTTGCTCTTAAAAAGTCTGGAAACAATCTTATTTTCATTCTTATATAAGTAACTTGGTATTTTGCCTGCATGGGGTGTCTCAGGGCAGCATTTTTAATTTCATAGCTGTAGAGCTCCCTCTTTCCTTGTTAAAACAAGTTAATAAAAATATGTACTTGTACTTTCTGCTGCCCTCTTCCACTTTTACTTGGACCTTCTTTTAAATTTACTTTACTGTCCTAGTTTTGCAGTTTCTCCTCCTTGTGAGGTGTAGTCCTAGAAAGGAGCTACAAGATATTTCACTTTAATTCATAGGGTCTTAACAGCTGCAGCCTTTTCAGATCCTGACAGGAGCTTTTAACTTACAAATTTAAGTGCCTACAACCCTTCCAAGAAGATAGATGTGATGATATATCAGTAGCAGTTAGCACACCAAATGGTCACATCTGGCCTCTAATTATCATTATTTACTAAAAGTTACCAGATCTTCTTGGAGAAAATTCTGATTCCAGGTCTGGGGCAAGGAAAGTACAAGATGAGATTGGGACATCTAATTGTACCAGAAAGTATATAAATGCTTAAAAAGTTATGGGGACATATAGAAGGACATAAAAAAAAAACCCGACAGCTAGAAGAGGTGCCCAGTGACAAAATTTGAGACAATTTGAGCAACAAGATTAATAAGAGAGAGAGAGAGAAAGACTTCTACCATTGTCAGACATTACACTATAGATAGAACGAGACTGTGATCCCTAAGAGAAGAGGAAAGGAGACTACACACAAAGGAGTCCTATGATTTTCTAAAGTTTCTGTCTGGAGGCACTATCTGGACCACAGAACAGGGATGGAGAGCCCAGGCAGAGTACAGAAGACTCTGAGTTGAGGGGATAGGAATCTAAGTTCAAGAAACCTGAAGTGTCTGGAATTTGCAGGACAGGGTGTCAGAGAGAGCTATGAAGAAAAGGAGCTCAAGCAATCTGTGTAGGTGCCTCCTCGAGTCTATTGCTGAATACTAAGCTGAGAATGTACAGGATGAGACTTCACATGGCCAGGCAAAGAATTCTCTGGGAGAAGGTTAGCAATTCCCAGAACTTACACAGGGCTGGGAGAAATCTGAGTTCCAACCAGCCTGAGTGGAGAGACCGCATAAGGGTTATGACTTACTAGTAGAGCTTAAATGGCCAGCCATAGATTAAGCAACTTGAGGCCCACTTTAACAAAGCTTAATTAAGCAAGCCCCAAAAGGGTCAAGGAAATATTTATGTAACTTAACTGTTAGGAAAAAGACAGTAAGGAAGAAAGGAAGAGAGGGAGGGAGGAAGGAAGGGGGAAAAATAACATTCTTTAAAGGAAGACAACAAAATCTAGATGCTGAATAACATAACATTCACAATGTCCAGCATCTAATACAAAATTACCAGACATACAAAAAAGCAAGAAAATGTGACCCATAATCAAAAGAAAAGTCAGTTGATAAAAAAAAAACCCAGAAATGACACAGATAATGGTATAACCATACCAAGAATTTTAAAGTTATTATAAATAGGCCCAAGGTTTAAAGGGCAATACGAATAGAATGAAGAGAAAATGGAATATGTTTTTTAAAAGAAGTAAATGGAACTTCAAAAAAAAATCACTGGATGGGCTTAGCAGATTGGAAACTGCAGAAGAAAAGATCAGTGAACTTGAAGACATAGCAATATAAACTAATCAAACTGAAACATGGAGAGGAAAAAGACAAAAGGTGAACATTTTTTTTAAACAACCAAAGAGAGAGAGAGAGACTTCTACTTCTGCCGTGAAGAACTGAGTGGTACTGGATTTACCCTCTTATGATAAACAACTGGAAATTAGGCAAGATATATGTAACAACTGTTTTTAGACATTGGATTATAGACAGAACAGGACTGTGGTGGTCTGTTCATATTGATCTATGGCACACTATCAAGCCAAAGTGGGGGAAGCAGAAACAATATTGGAAGAAATAGGCTGAAATTTTTCTAAATTTGTTAAAAACTATAAATCTACAGATCTAAGAAGCTCAAAAAACTCCAAGCAGAAGAAACATAAAAAAAGCCCCATCAAGGTATGTCATAATGTAATTGCTGAAAACCAGTGAAAAAGAGAAAATGTGAAAGACAGACAGGAGAAAAAAAAAAAACTTTACATACAAGAGAACAAAGAATAACTACAGACTTATCAACAGAAACAGTACAAGCCAGAAGTCAATTACACATCGTCTTTAACATGCTGACAGGAAAAAATGCAACCCTGGATTTCTATATACAACAAAAAATGTCCTTAAAAATAAAGAATTTTTCAGACAAAAAAAGATGAGGGAATTTTTCACCAGTAGACTTGTGCTATAAGAAATATTAAAGGAAATTTTTCAGGTGGAATGGAAATGATAAAAAAGTGATAGAACTGAAAGGAACATAGACAACTTCATAATTATAGTTCAAGATTTCAACGTCCCTTTTAGAAAAAGTATGCAACAAGTCAATAAGGTTGTAACATGAATAACAACTTCAATCAACTTGACCTAATTACTATTTATTAGACTTTGCCATCCAACAACAGAAGAATATGCATTCTTTTCTAGTGCACATGGAACGTTTACAAATATAGATCATATTCTGGACCATAAAGCAAGAGTCAATAAATTTAGGAGGATTTAAATCATACAAAATATGTTTTCTGATCACAATGAAATTAAATTAGAAATCATTAACAGAAGGATATCTGGAAAATCTCCAAATATTTGGAAATTAAATAGCACACTTCTAACTAACCTCTGAGGTAAAGAATGAGACAAAAGAAAATTACAAACTATCATACAAATCAACATATCAAAACATCAAACACATCAGTTTGT